TTATTTGATGGCCTTTGTGGCAGGGATAGAGATCCATATTTTATGTCACACACAGAGTATACATCTAGATAGATAGATGTTGCAGTATCTATAACAACCCAAACACACAGGATTTCAGAATGAGACATCCCCAGTTATTAATTTCATATACTCACCAGATCTGAATGCCCTGTTAAAAAACTTCACATCACGTTCCCCCCTGATGTCATTTACATTTAGTTGCAATAAATGCAAAACTCTCTGCAGGTTCTTGTCTTTGTCATCCGCTCTATTCAGCTGGCTTTTGAAACACACGGCGAGAAGGTGGGGGCGGATGGGGAGGGTTACGGGGGCGAGAAACGCAAAAGTAACGCAATAGTTACTTTTACTAGTAACTAGTTACTTTTATTGTGGAGTAACTCAGTAACTCAGTTACTTTTTGGGAGAAGTAACTAGTAACTATAACTAATTACTTTTTCAGAGTAACGTGCCCAACACTGGTAATGAGTGGGTAATAGAGAAGCTGCAGAGGGCTGTGTTAAATTACGACTCTGCTTCCTGGTCGGCATTCTGCATCAATTTCTTGCATAAATCTGATAAGCAGCCCCACAAGCATTAATGAATAAGTCTTCCAGCTAATCTCATGTTGGAATAACCTAAATAAAGTATCAAAAACAAATATTGTGTGGTGTGCTCATGTCATTCAATTCAACTTCTGAAGTAAAAGGTTGTTTTGTGGATCAATTTTTCAATTACAATGTGATTAATTACAGACCTTGAGATTGGCTATTAACATTTTTAAGTCCCACTGCTAAGAAAATAAAAATGTCACCAAATTCCAGGCAGTTCTGTTGCTCAAGTGTTTTTTTATACACAATCCTGTTGTTTCGGGTTGAGTAAAAGTTTAAAGGCCTTTAACCACAGCGTTGAACTCATGGTGGCTTTAGGCAATAGTTTTAGGATTTTGTGCCAAAAAGGCCACTTCAGAGTTCATACATTCCCAGTTTAATAAGTTCAAAATCTCACTACAGTGGCTGATGTTTTTTTTTTAATTTTTTTTTTTTTTATAGAAAGTAACTACCTACAGATATTTGTATAATTTGGCTCAATCCTGTCTTTATGCAACCTTAATACAGAACATTAACTTTATGCTTTTAAAATTTGGAGGAAGAAAAACTCAAAAAATCTCAACTGACAGTCTAGTTTTTCCTGCTATACTGTGAAACATAATTATAGCTTTAAATGAGATAGAATGGGACATCAGTCTTCAAGGCATGCAAAGGAGAAAAAAACTTGCCAACAGGACATAGCTGGAACATTACAGGAACAACTTGTATTGACATCATCAGAATGGGGTTAAGGTAGGACACGATGATTGTGCAAGCAAAATGGTAGAATACAATTCTTTAATTGATAATGTTTTAGTAATGTGCCACAGTGCCCATTCAAAGCACAGTTTATATAAACTGAGTGTTAGAGTATGTCCACTTTATGACAAAAGCATTTTTTTTGTTTTGAGTTTTTTTCTTAGAGCAGGGCAGGTTATATAATTACAGTCAACTGCCAGGAAAGTACATTTCAGCTTGCAGGAAACTTGAGAGTTGGGTGTGAGCTGAGGCAGAAATTATTTCATGTCCATGTCAATTTGCAGTAAGAGTTTAGAATCTCATTTGTATCTGCTGCTTTATTTATATTTTTTCCACCGCATTTGATTTCATTCTATAAGATGAAATCCCTTAAAACCTGAATAAGTTTTCAAAGCAAATGTAGAGACCATCATCCTGGTTAACAGCTGCTTTATAACTTCCACTGTCTGGACTACAAACCTGAGGCTGGGGCTGAGTGTCAGATGATTGATTTTCAGATTCCTGTAGAGAACAACATGATTGATACAATGCAGGATAAAGAAGTGATTCGTTAAAAAAGATAAAACATCAAACTAAAAGAAATAGAAAAAAAGCTAACTTCAATTGTGTTTCTTCAGCAGAATTGGGCTTGAAAATGTAACAAAATCAAAATGGTGTGATGTGTTCCATCAGTTAGCAGCATTCTGATGCTCATCTTAAGGTTTTAATGTGGGAGAAAACACCAACTTAATCAGGAGAAAATGTTAAAGCTAGCCTAGCACTGCTTTAGCATCAGCACGGCATTACTGCAACTGGAATCTCACACGGTAAGTTATAGATGCTAGATTCTTCTTTAAAAAAAAAAAAGGGAAATAGCCATTTATGATGACAGTAATACAGTTTTACAGCAGTTTTACACACAGAGTCACCTCTACACCTTATACGATTAATCAAATCTAAAAGCCTGGAAAAAAATTATCATTAATGTCGATCCTGTATCATCTTAAACACTAGACCCAAGTTCTGCTTGCAAGGCAAAATATCAAAAACTAATGCAGCTTAACTTTACCTTGGATCCAGACGCAAAAAATGACTTGGGAAGTATCCTCTTTATAATGAAAGTCTGAAAGGGAAAGATGAGTTCAAATGTTGCTTTTACTACATGGATGTTCTGCAATACTGTCGTACATTTGGGGTGTTTGCTATTGGCAATGAAGATTCAACCTGACGAAATACTTTTACTTTAGACAATGTAGAAAGAGTCCTATAAATTGTTTCAAGATTTTTTAAAGACAAAATATAAAAGACAAAAATGGACCAGAGTAGAAAATTTGTATGGTGACCAACCTTATTCTTTTTTCTTGCAACTTCTGTTGGCTGATTAACCCCCTCATTTATTGCCTCGGCATCTGCATACCAAATGGTCTGAAAACAATATTGTGTGAGGGTGAAAAAACAAATCTAAATCATTTGCAAATTATTGAAAATATATTCTGAATTTTCACTAAGCTTTATTAATTAATCACCACAATTACCCACTCACATTTGAATCAAGCAAAAAATAAAATAAAATAAAATCCCCTAAAAACTGACATTATCTTTAACCTCATGGAAAGCACTGATCTTCAACATACACACAGACCAAAAAACCCACTAACATCATGGAACATACTATTGCTTCAAATAACATCATCAGGTTACAGGATCACCGGATCACATGCTTAGCATTGCTGATGTGATTCATCAGACTATTTTTACATCCGAGGGTTTATCTAATCTTAATCTACGATTCTTCCTAGGTAAGTAGCCCCCCCCCCCCGATGTCTTACATGTCTCTCTATAGCACTGTCGTCCAAACTGTCAGAGCTGCTGGAGTTCTCACTGTGTATAGCTCGCTCAACCTGATGAGTGAGAATAAATAGCAAGTAAACATCGGCTCCATGGGGTAGGAAGTAGAAACAAACAGAATGTTAGTTAATATCTGTACACACATTCCGACTCAAGACACGGGTACTGCTTTCTGCTTGCAGATAAAGCTAAGCACTGTGAGGAAGTTCAATATTTTTTTCCAGTCATTTCCAAAAAGGAAACATTATCAGAGGGAATTAATTGTCATTTTGAAGGTTTCGACTTAGAGACAATTTAAAAAAAAAAAGTTCAGTCATTCAAAAAAATGAAAATGTATATTTTTTTTTTACGAAAACTGTTTTAATACCTTAATTACATCACGGCCGTATTATCGTTGCCTCAATTATAATAAACCCTATAGATGTACATAACCTCAAAGAGGAAGAGGCATTGCTATAGAAGCTGTTTTTCACAGAGTGCCATTTACAAGAATAATCATAGAAAGGGGAATTAAAGGAGAAAGTGTTGCGGCCTTGTGATGAGAGTTACGTAAAATAAATTAGAGTAGCAAGGTACTGAGGCTGCAGTCCGTGCCTTTTTGTAGGATTCCTTTTTACATGTAGGAATCCTACACATAGGCTATAAGCTTCTCATCTTGTCCAAGGACTGTTACTAAGTGGATCAAAGTCATCCTTTTGAGTTAAATTAAAATCTAAATTTTAATTTGGAAATAGAGTTTCCAGAGTTCCCTGTTGCTTCGAGTCCAGTGTCAAGTTCCCACAATTAGAGCAAGATTTTATCTGCTGGTGATGGCCCATGTTGATTTTGGAAGTTCGGAATGAATGCTGTCATCTGCCAGGAAATTTTTGAGGAGTCCTTGCTTCCTTCTGTTAACAAAAGCCTTATGGTTTTCAGGGCAGTTTCCTGGCCAGTCTAATACGGTGTGGACAGGTGCCAAGTCCTGCTGGTAAATCAAATCGGCTTCTCCATAGAGAATCTAAATACTATTGTCAAGAGGAAGATTAGAGACACTTGAGCCAACAATGCAGATGCGCCGGAGGCTGCACTGAAATCGCCCTGGACTTCTTTACAACTAAGCAGTAAAACAGGTTGATCACCGGCTACTGAGTTCAAAGAGACAGGGATAATTTAGTTTCTATAATCAAAATTCCCAGAAATAAAGCTTGAAATATTTTTTGTGGTTTATTTCCAATGAAACCATACAGCATATGGTCAATGTGACCGCTTCTAATATTTGCAAATCTTTATATATCTATTTATTTTTTTTCAAGTTTGTATTGTTGTGTATTGTTGTATGATTCTGTCTTTACTGTTGTTACTTTTTTTCTTGCTGCCCTTTTGGCCAGTTCACTCTTGAAAGAAATTGTAATCTCAATTAGTTTTTTTACCTAGGTACAAAAAAAATAGAAAAAAAGCATGTTTCATTTCCTGAAATGAGTGACCAAAAATGAACATTTTCAGCATCTTCCAAATTTTATGTTTACCTACAGATGGAGACAGAATAACTTTACAAAATGGCATAAAAACTTTAGAGATGTCTACATGATGTGTAAACAAAAGGCCTCTGAGGTCATTCATGGCTATATTTACCTCAGTCATGTTAGAAGGAGCAGATGAGTCAGTCTCACAAGCGTCATCGGTCACCTGTATCAACAATGGTTTGTTAAAAAATAGAAGGTCAAAATATCTGCCCCTTACAGTTTAAGAGAACAGGCACTTGGAATCTAACGTTCTCCATATCATACCTGCGTGTGTGACTTGAAGGGGTTGACCTTTTGCATCATCCCTTTAAACATGCCAGGGTTCTAGAAAAAAAACAAAAAGATGTTGGGGGGGGGGAAATAAAAGGTTTAATATTGGTTTTGTTTAAACAAAAAAGGAAGAAGACAAGGTGAATGGTTCACCTTTAAAAATCAGAGTTTGGCACCACCTAGTGGTGGTTGTTAAGAACAACGTCACACCTGTTAAAATTGGAGCAAAACTTCTTTTATAAAAATGTCCCCAATAAAGCTTCGTTATTAGCCCCCGGGGTTGCAAATTACCATTGTATTAAAATAAAAATGTAAAATATCACTGAAAGCAAACTAGAAAAGTTTAGTTGAGGTGGTTTAGGCAACTGTAAGTAAAGTTTTCTAGAAGACGTTTCACCTGTCATCCAAAAAGCTGCTTCAGTTCTAACTAGTGGTGGGGAGCACTGGGATTTATATACCCTAAGGGTAAAAAGAATTATGGGGGAAAAAGGGTGGCTCTGATCCCTCCTACTAGATTGGCGATGGGAGTCACCTGAGGGATGTTAACGGTCATTGAGGGGGTGGGGGTTCTGATGGGTCATTAACTCCATCAGAGTGGATTTCTGTGACATTCCTCTTTGCAGTGCAAGTCAGGTGAGGGCAAGTGAGAAGTGAATCTTCTGGGTATTGTGGCTAAAAGTCCTTTAAAAGTGACAGGTTATGTCTAATATCCCCCCCTCTGTTCAGAGATGTTTTTAAAGGTTAACAAAGATGGCCCCTATCCTAAACCATCTGTCTTTATTGGGCAGAATATTGACACTGCTGTCCTCAAATGAGTGCACTATAGCCTTCAGGTGCAGGTGAACGGCTAGGACACCTAAACGGGGGTTCAGTCCTTAGGAGGGTTAACTCCTCAGGACATGACTCGGCTTTTAAACTACACCTTAGGGCTAAAGGAGGCTCATGCACCTAAACATTAACCTACAGCCTCTTTGATGAGAAGCAAACCTAGAAACCTTCTTGTTCAGTTACTTAAACTAAACTTTTTAAGCTTGACCATGGCATGAATGACTGACAATCTTCACAGATATATTGCTGAAATCAAATAAATTCAACTTGTATTGATCCATTACACACATTGACAGGTTATTTTATTTCAAGTGTGTTTATTATCGTTCGTTTGCTTGCTTGTATTTGGATTATGGCTTAAAGCTAAAGCCAACTCCAAATAAAGTCTCAGAACACTATGTCAACAGTATGTATTCTTTTCGTCTTCAGAATGCCAACCTACTGTTACCACCACCCAGGGTTCTCAACCAATGCAGAGAGAAAGGCAAAAAGAAAAAAAAAACAATGATCTACACCACCGTTCACAAGTTTGGGGTCACATTGAAATGTCCTAATTTTTGAAGGAAAAGCACTGTGCTTTTCAATTAAGATAACGTTAAACTAGTCTTAACTTTAAAGAAATACATTCTATACATTGCTAATGTGGTAAATAACTATTCTAGCTGCAAATGTCTGGTTTTTGGTGCAATATCTACATAGGTGTATAGAGGCCCATTTCCAGCAACTATCACTCCAGTGTTCTAATGGTACAATGTGTTTGCTCATTGGCTCAGAAGGCTAATTGATAATTTGAAAATCCTTTTGCAATCATGTTCACACATCTGAAGACAGTTTAGCTTGTTACAGAAGCTACATAACTGACCTTCCTTTGAGCAGATTGAGTTTCTAGAGCATCACATTTGTGGGGTCAATTAAACGCTAAAATGGCCAGAAAAAGATAACTTTCATCTGAAACTCAACAGTCTATTCTTGTGCTTAGAAAATGAAGGCTATTCCATGTGATAAATTGCTAAGAAATTGAAGATTTCCTACAACGTTGTGTACTACTCCCTTCAGAGGACAGCACAAACCAGCTACTGTGGGTACTATTTAATGAAGATGCCAGTTGGGGACCTGTGAGCCGTCTGTTTCTCAAACTAGAGACTCTAATGTACTTATCTTTTTGCTCAGTTGTGCAACGCGGCCTCCCACTTCTTTTTCTACTCTGGTTAGAGCCTGTTTGTCTTCCATCATAATCACTTATAATTAGTGTTGCACCGATACCGATACCAGTATCGGATGGGGCCCCGATACTCCCCTAAAATGGTGGTATCGGTATCGGCGAGTACCAACAAATAGGGCACCGATACCATTTTGAGAGCCATAAGTTTATTCAACTATTGTCACCCACTCCTGGTAGGCAATGAAAAGTTCTACTTGATTCACTTTGTTTTAGATTTTTTCCTACTTCACAAAGGTAGGCAGCAGCTTGACAAAGCCATGATGGCAGTTATTTTACATTATTATGGTATCGGTATCGGCCGATACTGCTGAATGAAAAACTCAAAGGAATGAAAACTGAACTTGACAGGTCACTGAAATGCCTTTTCCCTTATCAATAACCTATTTGCAAGTTTTGCTTTTCAACTTTAAGGACGAGCAAACAAAAAAGCATCTTTAATATGTGGGCTTAAAGGGGACAAAAGTAAATACATTGATAAATCATGAATTAAATACATTCCAAGACCAACAGCAGCCAAGTAAATGTGCCTTTAAATAAATAAATGTAAAATTTAAATGTACTATCAAAGAAAAAGCACAGTTAAATTTGTCATTAAATTATCCTCACTTTTAAATGATATTAAATATTTTGATGCCATTTCTAAATTAAAATTTGTCGAATATACATAAATGCCATTTATTTATTTCAGAGTGGCTTGAATGAATGGTGAGAAATATGTCCAAACCACAAAGTAGACTAATCAAACTTGGGGAGATTTCGCGAATTCTACAGAGACTCATATAGGCTGCTTTACACAAAGAAGAACTTCTTCCTGGATTGCTTGAAATCTAAGGTCAATCTTTTTGCACATAGGTTGAGAAACAACTTCAAAAACATGTTGCTATTTGTTTACCAGATGTTGGCTGAGAAATTCCAGCCTCTATATTACTAGTTTGGTCTGAAATCTCTCTAACAAGTTCATGAAAGAGCTAGCCAGAGTTTGTCAGCGAGTCAGACTAATGCTGATCCTACCTGAAGTCTGGACTCTTCCTCCATTCTGGACCCTGATGAACTCTCTGTTCTCGCTTTTAACCCTTCATACTCTACAAGTGGTCAATAAAATGTCAGACATGGCACTGACAGACAACAAGCCCAATCCTCCCACTACACACACACTTCCATTAGGCTCTGTCATGCTTTGTTATGCAGAACAAATATAAAAGATGTTATTCTTATATTGACCTAATGTTATACACAAAGGGTATAAAAAACAAAACAAAAAAACAATACAATTTCCCTCTACGTATTTTGTGGCATTGCTTTTAGTTTGCATGGAGGTCCCCAGGCAGCCCACTTCCCTGTGACTCCCATCAGAATCCCCTCCAACTTCCTGCCACTGGAGTGACGAACTCCTTCTTCAGGGCGTGCATGTCTTCATTCATTTTTTAATTCATTCATTTTAATTGCAAAATGTTTATAGACTTTGGTTACAATCTTGGTTTAGTTACTACTTTAAGTCTTTCAGCTAAAGGCATGTTTAAGAGTATCTATACTCCAGTTAAAGATTAATCGATTACTAAATTAGTTGACAATTATTTCAGTTATCGATTAATCACGATTAATCCGACTAATTGTTTCATCCCTAAATGATTGAGCTTTTCTGTTCAGAGAACCCGCTTGCTTTAAGCAACTCACCTGCATTGCTAGATTTTATTTTTCTAAAGCAGCTTGTTAAAATCTTTTACAGATTATCTACGGGGCTTTGGTTAGACACGTTCTTCTGGCCAGTCAAGCACAGTGACAATACGGCATTTTTTTTGGCACTGTAGAAAGGTGCCAGTCCTGATGAGAGATAAAATCGGCATCTCCTTAAAAGCATATCAAGAGAAAGAAGCATGAAATGCTCTAAAATTTCCTTGTACAGATGCCATGATTTCTGACTTGATTAAAAACACAACTGAAACGTAGCAGGGGGCATGGCTGTGTAAACCATCTCAAACTGTGGAATCTTGACTTTTGACCTCAAAAACCTTGGTTTCTGTGTTCCTCTACTACATTACCAGTTTTAAGGTATGTGCCAATATTACCAGTTTTAAGGTATGTGCCTGTATCGTTTGGAAACTGCTGAACTTTTAGGTCATGCAGTTCGGTATATGTTTAAAAAGAAAAAAATCTTCCCCTATAGGTGCTCGCTCTATAGGTTCAGGTTGTATAAAGAAAGAGGAAGACAGTATCCCACACTTTTCCACTGTATTTAGCCCTTTCAGAGGGGGTGATAATATGTGTTCACTGCATCGGCTGCCCCATGAGACGCAAAGGCTGCTATATTGCATAACCCTGGCTACCACAAGAAGACAGACGGCAACAGCTTGGAGAAAGAAGGTTTCCCTTCGTGCGTTCAGCACGAAGACGGCAGCAGCCAGAGGAAGCAAAACACCTGATGGCGTATCGGCGGGAGAATCACCCAGCGCTATTTACAAAACTCAAGATAAAGTCTGTCCTGAATTTGTGTTACAGGAAAAACAAATAAAGTCATTCAACTATTTAACTTAAGTTCAATAATAGTTTGGGGGTAATCATTCAGCCGGCAATTTGTATGTCTTTGCATATAACAACCATAACAGTGCTCACAGCTCAAACATTCAGTAATGTTCTGACCTAAAAAAGCAAAGAACTCTGAAGGTCTAATCAAACAAGTTGAAGACAGTCTGAGCAAACAGAAAGATGTTGAAAAATCATTGAGGCTAAAGGATTGTAGCTCCTTTCCTAAACATCCCACTCCAACAACACTGTTTAACCTTGCAGCTCTGTGACAGACTGAGCTGATATTTATATGTAGAAGATAAAGTAAAACAATATTAAAAATGGAGGAAGATCAATTAAATCTTTACTTCACACCAGCTAACCTTAGAATTAGTGAAGCAAATACTGTATTATTGTGGTAGGCATCTTATTGATTGTGCTCTTCGAAACTTATCCACTGCACTTCGCGTTTCATCAGTTTACAGAAAAAGGTCAAAGGATCAAACCCTTTTGTAGCTGTAGCCACACATTCTGCACAATCATTGTCATACTTGTAATTTCTTTTGCTTCTTTGTGCCTGTAAAAATGTATTTAGGTGCCTAAAACAACAAAAAATTTTCACACTGGCACCTTCATTTTCTGTTATTACATCATGTTTTACTCACCCATATGAGTTTTGTGTCATTTGGAGCTGTTCTGAAGATATTCCGTGAGGTTATATCCAGGTAAGGTCTTCCTATGGGCAAATGACTTGAAGGCACAAACTAAACTGTTCATAATTTATTCTTTATGGTACGCCAGCATTCATAACATGTAGTCAAATTACTGTCCCCCAAACATCCTTGGTTATATTTTTTATATTAATATTTTTTTAAAACAAAGCGGCGCGTGTATGACGTCATCCGCGCGCCGGACTGGAGTCATAACAGGAAGCCCGGGCCACAGGCGGCTACGCTCTACCCCTCCTATTCATTCAGGTAGCTAATCTGAATCGTTCAATTCCATTTCGAGAGAGAGATCATCTGTGGTAGAAGCACTAGACATCTTCCAGGCATGTGAGTAAAACTAGCAGCAGTTCAGCGGACAGGATGAATGAATGGTAGCCGGTGCGTGCGGATGATGTCATACACATTCTGCCAAATATAAGACGGACATTGTAGTTTGGTTTAAAGAAAGCATTTTAGTTTTATTATAATTTTGTTTGTTTTACAGTTTGAAAAAATAGGAGTCTAAAGTTTGAAGAAATAGATAATTACACCATACAGTATGCCAACTGTCCCAAGGATGTGCATGACAAGGAAGGGCTATATATACTGCATGCATCGCTTTGGTAGTTAACATTGTAATACTTCTTGAGCTCCTTAAGTTATTTACTATCACAGGTAGATGCTTCGACTGGATAGTAAGTGTTTTGGGGCGGGTATGAATCAAGGAGGGCCCGCCCTCGCACGCCGACCCACCGGGCACATGCGCGGTATCACAGATTACCAGTCCGAGCCTGGCTACAACTAATGATTGTTTCACAAATCAATTAATCTATCCATTTTTCTTTTTTATTAATAATTGGATAGCCAAAGGTTCCTTAAAGAAGCATATTGACAGACAAAACTAATTTATTATCTTAAATGCAAAATTTTTATATATTTCTTTACGATTTTTATATAATTACTGCTCTAAGCGGGTTGCTCTGTCATCTTAAGGCATGTTTTGGAGTCTCGATTAATATATGTTGACAGTTATTTCAATAATCGATTAATCATGATTAAACCGAACAATTGTTTCAGCCCTACTGAAATAGTCTAGAGTTACAGGGATCAAGTAGTTCTAAGATCAAGCCATAGTTCCACAATAAGGGTTGGGCATCGATGGAATTCAAAGGATTCTGGTTCCTCTCGATTTAGAATCCTCTAAACAGATTTAAACATATCCAGTTCCTGATGCTTCAGGTACTTATGCTGTATAAAACAATTTTAGCATTTTATTTAACCGACTCAGAGCTGGCGGGAAGGAAACAGAGCAGCAGGAAGGTATCCCTGCATGATCTATATCCTCAGCAGTGAGGATTTACTTTGATGGAAGAGGAACAATTAGATGTCATCCTCAGTCATTTAATTTCATGACAAGAAAGAGATCCCACATAAAATAGTGCATGAAGTTATGCTAAAAATAATAACTTTGGCTGGTCGAGATTTGTGTACTTCATTCTATCCAGAATGCATAGGAAAGAAAGGGATCAATTTTCCCAGTTGTGCTATGAATACAGAGGGACACATTTCCCCAGGGTTTGGTGTTGTAAGGATGGCGGCTGGTCATTTCTTTCATAAACTCTTAAGTCACGTTTTTGAAAGCTTCTGCATAAATGGATGTTGCACACACACTCCTGTGGATTCTGACATGTCCATTTGGTGGACTGGGCACTGGAACTAAAAATAAAACATTTAACAATTCCAGGAGGATTTAAAGGTTAGGAGCAGTTCTGGCTGGTGCCCAACAACATTAATCATTTAAATTATTTCCCTCTTTCCCTTTTTTAATTCAGACATTTTAGAAATAGAGCTGTAATCATAATCCTATGTGATTTATTACAGTAAAACAGTAAAACAGCCTATGCCTAAACTCTACCCCTCCGGTGTCTTGATACATTTGTTGCCCAAAAAATACAATATTTACTTCCATTAGAAAAGTGCATCCAACTCCCAGAGAAAATCTTAATCCTTTTTCCACATTTGGTCCAGCAGAGAGCCTTCTGACCTCTTCCCTAGTTCAAGGGAAGAGGTCATATGTTTTGGATACATCTGTTCTGGCAGCTGTCAGTACAGATGACACAACTTTACCAAACAACTCTTGAGTGGACTCCGATTCACATTACTGCCATGGCTGCAGATATCACTGTTTGTGCTTACATTACACCTTTTCCTTATGCTCCACTATGCATTAATGTACTCCAGATAAGACTCTGAACAACCACCTCTAGAATAAATATCTTTTGTGGGTTACTAATTGCTGGCCAAAACAGGTTATCTCTTTTTTTAACAGTCTTCTGCAAAAAATGTATAATGCGACAAACTGAATTTTAGCGCTTTCATGAACAATAATTTGCAAATACATAATCACATGGTAATTTAAAGCCAAATATGAATTTGAAGTTTGTAACATTAAATAGAGACTTAGAATATTTTATTTATTAATTTGCAACTCTAGATACATTCAGTTACATCCTTTTTCAAAGAGGTTAAGAAAGATTGAATTAAGATGCTATAGCACCATCTTATGGTACTAAAAAATATTACACTGACTAAGCCGAGCAGCTGTAGTTCTCTCTCATGTAATTCATCTGGGAGATGATGCTGATGAGAGCCAGCTAAAAATGTGGTGCAAGTACCTAGATAAGCCATTTTGCTTTGTGTTGGGAAATTTGAATATTTATGTTTTTGCGTAACATATTTTGTGTTTCAAACATGAACCTGTTTAGACTGTTGCCTATTTAGATAGAGGGTTGGACTGTTATTTTTCTAAGAAGTATATTTACCAAAGTAACATATTTTCCTAGATCCCAGATCAGAAAAAAATATTAAAAAAATAATAATTCTTGGTTCTTTAGACAAACCTGCTTCTCTGGAACATTATTGTTGTCCGTCAGGCTTCCACTGCTGGACGACAGGTCACTGTTTAAAGATGGAGGGTCCTGGAGAGGAGATGGGAGTCAGAGAAAAGGAAACAAAACATAAGCAAAGATTACTTACCTACTCAATTTGGATTAGCAGAAAAAAAGTACCTTTGGCTGAAAAGATCTGAATGGGTTGATTTTTTGAATCATGCTCGTCATCATCCCTGGATTCTGGGGAAAATAATTTAAAAAAGGAGGCATCAGAAACTCTGCAGCAGACACAGAGATAACCTTGAAAAGACAGAGGAGTTTGGTGCTTACCTGTTTCTCTTGAAGGTCTCCATCAGGCTCTTGTATGTTTGAAGAATCAACTGGAGCTTCATGTTTTGGCTGCTCCAACAAAAAGATAGAAGGTAATTATAATAATATAAAAGATTAGGCTGTTTCCTAGAAATGCCTTAAAAAAGAAAAATAACCAATTACAGTAATGATTTCTGATCTTCTCTTACACCTGTCAAGGTATTCATGCACATAAACTAAGTCCACACCACCAGAGTTAAAACTACTTTTTAATTGCATTTCAGTGAGTTGAGGTGGAAGTTGAGAGTTCCCTCTAACTCTTTTGTTTAGCTAGTAGATAACTTTCATTTAAAAATCTCAGACACCATTTATTCAATTACCCCAATTAAAGTTTAAGTCGTTTCTGGGAACAAAAAAGAAAAAAAGAAAAAGTCTATGCTGAAGTGCTCCTGGAATAAAAGGGGTGTTAAAACGCTGGATGCAGATCATAAGAGTTTGGACTTCATGTTCATTACATCTGTAAAGATAGAACAAACAACTCAAATAAGCAAAATATTCTTTCTTCTGAGACTATCAGATCAAAAACATTAACAATGTTTGTGCCCGTACAGGTGAAAAGGCTTTCCGGTAAATTTAGTATCTAAATTCAAGACTACCAGGGCCAGCAAAGAATTTGCCAATAACTTTACTGAGAAAAAAAAAGAATGAAGAGGTAGTACCTCATAAATCTTGGTACCAAAGTTGTCTCCAATTAGTGGATATTGACAAAATTTGCTAATTTTACTACAAAACCCTGGAAGAAATCGTACATCAACTAAGCTCTTCCTCCTGTCATCTCAATGTTTTACCCACAGCTTTTCTTAAGAAAGCTATGTCTGTAATACATTTGATGTAACTCAAAATATAAACAGGTCCATTTCCTATCATGGCCTTAAAACAGCAATTATCAAACTGCTGCTACAAAAGCAGAACTTGGATAAGCTAAAACTGCAGAACTACAGGCCTATTTCAACACTTCCCCTGTTTTAAATCAGTTTGAAGATTTGAGAAGTTAAGCGCCATCGCTATTGATGGAGCACCCACAATGGTAAGTGAACAAAAAGGAATGACTCCATTAGTCACAAAGGAATAATCCTCTTGAGTCTAGATCCAAATGTCTTAATATTATGTCTTTGTATCGTACATCAAGAGAGTCTGTGAAGATGCCTTGAATTCATGGTGGAGATTACCATGCACCTGTCAGAGCTAAACACCAAGCTGCAAGGTCCCAACAGCTCATCAGATCTTTCAAGTGTGAAATACCGTATTTTCAC